GAGTCTTGAAGCTAGGTATTGTATATCCATCCACTTGTAATTCACAAAATTGTTTTAACTATCCTGGATCCTCTGTATTGTCATATAGTGTTTACAATCATTTTAGCAATTTCTACATAAAAGTATGCTGGAATATTTATTGGGATTATATTAAATCTAGAAATCAATCTGAGGAGAATTGACATATTAGTCTTTTTACTGTTGAACTCTGTGTCTGTTTATTTAGTCCTTTCCTTTTTTATCATTAATATTTTGTAGTTTTCATTGTACGTGGGACTCCTGGTGTGGCATTGTAGGATAAGTACTGGACTGTGAACCACAAGGTCATCAGTTCAAACCTACTAGCTGCTCCTCGGAAACACTGCACCAGGGTCACTATGAGTTGGAATCATCAATTCCCTGGTCCTTAAAAAATATATAATTGTACATATCTTGCACGTATTGTTAAATTTACTCCTAGATTCTTTTTTTTTTTTTTCAGTTACTATTCCAAATTGAGCTCTGGTGTGGTGCTGTAGTATAAGCACTAGACTGCTAACCTCAAGGTCGGCAGTTCAAATACACCACCCGCTTTCAGAAACCCTATACAGGGTCACTCTGAGTCATAACTGACTCAACACCACACAACAACAACAGCATTTCAAATCTAGGAGCACTGCAGCTATCTATGTATGATAAGCACTAGGCTGGTAACAAAAGGTCATCAGTTCAGGCCTCCCAACTGGTATGGGAGAAAAATGAGACCTGCTCCCACAAATATTTACAGTCTTGGAAACCCTATATAGGGTCGATAAAAGTTGGAACCGACGCAACTACTTAACAACATTTATCTACATGTATTATATAATTATGGAATCCTGGTATATTACAGTAGGATAAGCACTGAACTGGTAACCACAAGGCCAGCAGTTCAAACCTATTAGCTACTCCACAGAAACCCTATACCAGGTTGCTATGAGTTGCAACCAACCTAACAGCATTTAACACCGGCATTGTGATAAATGACTTTCCTTTTATAGTGTGTTAATATGGTGCATTACATTGATTCATCCTCAGATGTTGAAACAAATTTACATTCCTTAAATATAAATTATTAATAATTATTTATGACAAATAATTATTTGCCATAATTATTTATTATAGTTATCATAGTGTGTTATCTATTTTTAATATATTGCTGTATTCTGTTTGCATATATGCTTTACTGTGTCTTTTTGGGCTGCCCTTTTCTGTTCGACTCTTTTACTACCTCATTTTTTTCCATTTACTTTAATATCTCTACATGGGAGAGAAATTTCAGAGTCTCTTCTGACATCCATTTTGGTCTTTTATTGCTTTCCTGTCTTTTTAATAACCTTTTGCTTTATTCCTATATGATGTTCTTGATGTCATCTCCCAGCTATTCTGGTTTTCAGACATTAATGTTTAATGCATCAAATGTCTTTTCAAGATGGTCTATAAATACAGGTGGGATTTGTTCAAGGTCATTTTTGTCTCTTGTGACCTTGCTTTAACTTTCTTCAGCTCTTGCCTGAACTTGCATATGAAAAACTGATGGTCTATTCTACAGTCAGCCCCTGACTTTGTTTTGGCAGATGATACTGAGTTTGTCTGCTGTCTCTTTCCACAGATAACCATTGCGATTCTTGCGTATTCCATCTGGTGAGGTCTATGTGTATGGACACCTTTATATGTTGTTTTAAAAAGATATCTGCAATGAATAAATTGTTGATCTTGCAACATTCTATTATGCAATTTCCAATATCATTTCTATCACCAAGGCCATATTTTCTAACTTGTTTCCAATCTTTGCTTCTTCCTCTTAGTTCCAATCTTTGCTTTCCAGTCACCATTGAGTATCATATCTTGATTGCATAGTTGATGAATTTCACACTGCAAAATTCGGTAGAATTCTTGAACCTCATCATTACTGACTTCAGTGGTTGTTGTGTAAATTTGAATAGTGGTATTAATTAGTCTTCCATGTAGGAGTATGGATGTTGTCCTATCATCAACAGAATAATATTTCAGGATAGACCTTAAAATCTTCTTTTTGATGATGAAATTCCTGTTGTTCCCAGCATAGTGAAACTTATGACTGTCTGGTTCGAAGTGGTTAATACCACGAAGTTATTGGCTTACAAGGTTTCAAGAGGGAGTTTAATTTAGTTTCAGAGTATGTGGGGAAAGGTAGAATCACCACTGAAGAGTTTTCATCTTGTCTAGATGTGCCTGGTGAAAGTAGATGGGGATAAGATTCTTATGATACAATCGTGAGTAATTGTATCATGACTAATTGCAGTTGTCACAACTGTAAAGGTAGAAGTTTTGTAACAAGAGAGGAGTAGTTAATCTTACATTCCAGGAACAAAGAACCCTAGGACCATCAAGGGAGAAGAGCATGAGTGGAATATGGGATCCTATCCAGAGAATCAGTGACATCAGAGCTGGAGGCAGAGATGTTGACATGGACAGAGAGAGAGCAGCTGAAGACTCTAGACTCATGGAAAGAGAAAGGCTGTGTGCTGGTGGCCAGGAGGCAGGCTTGTGGAAGGTGCCATTTGGTTGTTTAAATGATTATATATTCCTCAGTGTTTCTGTATACATCCAAATAAAAATCCAAACCAAAAAATAAACCAGAGGGACTAGAAGCAAATACTGTTGAATGATGATGTACAGAGGGGATTGTAATCATTACAATTAAACAAAATACGATAGGATGAGTGTAAAACTGATATTTTTCCATTATGTTTTTCCAATACTATCACTCAATTCACAATAAAAACCTTAATAAAAAAATAAAACCTTATTATTCTAATATCAATTTCCCTAAATGCTGCTTTATGAAATTCCCCAATTTTGGATTGTGTTTGCAGTTCCGTTCAGTTTAGAATATTGTGAAGTTACCTTTTTGGTTTCTTTGTCCCAATCCTTATACCAAATTTGTTGCGTAATTCGATAATATTTGGGAGTTCAGCAACTATCTTTCTGATGTTAGTTTCTAGCTTAATTATGTGTGGATAAGGAATATGCTTTGTGTCATCAAAGTCCTTTTAAAATTGTTAAAATTTGTTTCTGTATACTTGGTTTGCCATTATTGGTAGAAAAATTTTGTATTTTCTAGCTACAATAGTGGTTTTGCTTATTTCTCTTTTAGTTCTATTGCTGAAAATCAATTTACTTGGTTAACTTGTGAGCCTAGCTCTCTGATGGATTCAAGAAATTCATGATTTTGTAAATGATTTGACTTTTACTTATTGTTAAATGGTAGCAGTATTCTCTTGTGGCTTTTAAATCCTAAACAGAAGCAGAACATTCATGAAACTTCTGGGATATATCTGTCTATGTGTACGTTTTCCAAGTCTAAATGTAGGTTGTATTTCTTAATGGAGATCAAGGTTAAACTTTTTTGAAAGCTAATTTCCTAGAGGAGAGTTGGCAACTGGTGTATTTTTGTGGTCCAGAATGCTCCCACTGGAGTTATATTTCCTTTCAAGGTAATATTTATTCCCTAAGTTTCCTTCGGCTTCCTTCAGTTTTGTTTTGACTTAGTGAGGTAAATTTTCATTAGGGAATAATTTAATGTTCTTGGTTCTTTGTAGTCTTTTCCACATCAAGAAATGGACATGTATAAAAAGTAATATGATTTCTTAGGCATCTGCTCTGAACAATGTATAATTGGAGAAACTACTATAGTAATTATTCTCAATGTAGTGCAAATAGCCTGAAGGGATCAATTTCTTTCAGAAAGTTCTCATATGCTTAGTGTCTTAAATTCCCTAGGACTGCCATAATAAACTTCCACAAAGTAGGTCACTTCAAGGATAGAAATTTATTGTCTCAAATTTTTGGAGGCTAGAAATCCAAATCAGACCACTGACTCTAGGAGATGGTCCGTCCTTGTCAGTAGCTTTGAAGGTTCCTTGGTATTCCTTACCTTGTAGAATAGTTCCTCACATGGCCTTTTCCCTAGTGTGTGTCTCCATTTGTGTGTAAGACATAAGAATAGGTTTAGGACCCACTGTACTTTGTTTTGGCTTTGCAGTGCAGTGGATTTCTTCATATGGTTCTTGTACCCATTGTCCTTGTAACTCCCACCAAATATCTTTATCCTAATGGTTCTGAGTAAGAAACGGTGGAGGAAGATGCTGGTGGACTATGATTCAATTATGAATTTTGTTGTGAAACCTTGGAACTCTAACCTAGGTATAAAATGAACCATCTCAGAAGTAGGAGGGGAGAATCTCACTTCGATCAAGCAAGGGGAGTCAGGAATGGAACTTGTCTTTCGTATTCTGAGAAACCTGCACACTGAACCTCCTCAACCCAAAGACAGAGAATGCTGTGACTCTGGGGAAATGGCAGAGAAGCAGCAACAGAACCAAGAGCCAGAGCACCCAGCCCATGATCCAGTAAAGCTGAGTGCCTTTGGCTTCAAGAGTCGTCTGTAGAGTGGAATGGCTCCAGGCACTTAAGTCAGAAGCTGGGTTTGCTGACCCAGAGCTAGAACTGAGTGCCTTCAGGCTTAGGCTCGTGGTTGAGTGGAGTGCCCTGTGGGAATTTATCAGCAGCCTAAAGGAGCTTCATACATTGAAGGAGCAGGGCACATGCCAGGCCAAGGGGTGTAGGGCCATTGCAATGCTTGCCTGTGGGCACAGAAGAGGAGAGGCTGTCCAGATTGGAACAACTGCCCTGAGCGTTTCTGATCATGACTTGTAACCTTATAACTTGGAGTATGGTGTCTGTGCTCTGTGTGGTCATTGCAGTGAATTATCGAACCCAGAAGAGAAGTAGAAGTGCTATGGGCAAGATGGTTGGTGTCATCATTTTACAGGCTTCATTAATACTACAAAAGAAAATCCCTCTTTGCAAACAGTGTCTTATTTATAGGTTAGAACTTTAACATAACTTGTGGGGGGATACAGTTCAATCTATAACATCTAGAAAGTAATTGATTCAGATAATGTGACTGATTTTTGTATTTTTACATTTTTATTCAGAGTTTTGGAGGCTGGAAAGGCGAATGTTATTTTACCCAAAAGTTTACAAAGTGGGGTAACTCATGTGATTGCCAGTAATGCAAGAATCAAGGCTGAGAAAGAGAAAAATAACTTTCAGGCTCCGTTTTATCCACTTCAATATCTAGGAGATTATCTTTTAGAAGTAAGTAAGCAAATAGTAAGTATTTTTAACTGTTTATTTTATAGACTACAAATATCATGAAATATATATATTTAAAACATAGTTCTGCTGTAAATTGAAAACTTTTGTTAGACCTCTTTTTTACTTTCCATAACCTACTCCCCAGCAGTGTTTTTAACAGTAAGTCATAGTGTTGAAAGAACATCAGAGAATGATAGTATCAGCAAATTATGCACTGCAACATTGTATATAGTACATATTATTAATGGTAAGATGTATCCCAATAAAGAATGGTTATATATGCTGTTCATAGTAATCTGAATATGTCTTAAATTGGTGATTGCCTTACATAGTGATTGAAAGTGTTCAAATAACACATATTTAAGGTAAACTGCTCATAATTATTTAAATATTTGAAAATTATCCTTACAGATTTTAAAGAAGATTGCTTGGTATTTTCAGTATTTCAATCATGTACACTACAAAATAATGTTGCACATGTTAATTAATGTCAGAGCATAAGTAAAATGGTTGTGGACTGTAATATTATATAATATCAAGAGAATTTTGGGTTATTTTCCCTTTGGAACTGAGGGAGCATTATTTTTCTATTCTATTCTCCTTTCACCCCCCTCCTTCATGTAAATAACACTCCTCAAGTTGTTTGAATGGGAATCAAACCTCAAGGAAATCCACCCTCTGGGTGATAAGCTAAGAAGAGTTTATAAAGAAGGATCACTTAAGGTAAAGAGAAAGTTTTTAGTAGGTCCAAAACCTGAGCCTTGATCTTCGAGGAAATATCTGGTCCTTCTTAAGTGTTTCCCATCTCCTTTTGTTTAATTGTTGATGTCAGAGGCATAAGAATCACCCTTGAAACCTTCTTCTCCCTTGCACCCTGCATCTATTAAACTACCAGGTTCTACTGATTTTACCTCTCAAATAGCTCTTCAGTCAAACCAGTTTTCATTGTCTTGCCCAGTGTTCATGGTGTAAACTCCTCACTACTCTTCCTAGTCTGCCCTTTAGTTCTAGTCCAGCACTGTATTGTGAACCAAAGGTCAGCCATTCAAACCCACCAACCACCCCTTGGAAATCGTATACAGGGTTGCTATGAGTTGGAAAAGACTCAATGACAGTTACCAACAACTCTTCCTAGTCCACCCTTTTCTTTTAGTCCACTCAAGGGCATTAGAAAGAGCAGCCTAAATACGTCTTCTAAAATCTGATCCTGTTCCTCTCCATCTCAGAATCCTTTAGTGGTTTCCCATTGCCTTTTGGATAAAAGTGTGTTACATGACTAACATGAATTTCAAAATCTCATAGGATTCTTTTTAATCTTACCTTTTCCTCTGCATTCTGCTCCATGTTTTCATGTGTTTACAATGCTATAACCTAGGGATGGGAAATGTCCAGTTTGTAGGCCAAATAAGGCCCTCAAAATCATTTGGCCCTGCCAGGGCAACCGCAGTTCCAGCCATCGTGTTGTTGTTGTTATTGCCATAGAGTCGGTTCCGACTCATAGCAATTCTGTATAGGGTTTCCAAGGAGTGGCTGCTGAGTTTGAATCACCGACTGAGCAGTCTAGCGGAATAATCCACAGAGCCACACCAGGACTAGGGGTGAGTTATTTAAATTTTGACAAAATATAGCAGACTGATTTTTAAGTTGATCTTTTTTCCCCCCACAAATGATGCTACAAATTTTGGCAGAAAAAAGGTTCTCCACCCCTGCTATTGAATCCTAGTGTGACACTTCAGGTTAATGCGCTGGACTACAAAATCAGTTTGAACCCCATGGTCAATGGTTCAAGTTTTCCAGTCACTCCTCAGAAACCTATACAGGGTCCCTGTGAGTTGGAACTGACTCAGTGGCTCTTAACAACAACATGCTTATTATATCCATAAGTATTGAATCCCATTGTAGATCATTAAACTAATACATTTCCATGTTTAAGTTAGGTTGAGTTGGTTTTCTATTATTTGTACCCACAAGCATCTTGAAACACCTTTCTGAGCAGTACAAATGTAGTATTAACTGTCCAGAAAATAAAAGTTGTTCTTAAGTAAATTAATAAAGATACCAGAATTTGTGGTGTTTGGGTTAACGCGCCAGACTGCAAAGCCATTTGAACTGCAAGGTTGGCAGTTCAAGCTCACCAGCTGCTCCTCAGAAACCCTATACAGGGTCTCTATGAGTCAGAACCCGACTTGACGGCACTTAGCAACAACATAAACAACAACATAGGAAAATAATTTGCTTTATTGAAAACCTTACTTTGCAATGATTTGACAACATTCAAAATCAGCTATTGAAAGACACACTGCAATGGTGTATCAGCCAAAAGTAGCAGATAATCACTAGTTTGTATATGGATAATATTTTGTTCATTTTAAGTTTTAGATTACACAGTGTACGTTCAAAACTATTCAGTCCAGGGAAGGCATATTCTAACCATTTTTTAAGGAGAAACTAGAAAGGTAACCTAATTTTGATGTCTTCCTTTTTTTTTTTTTTTTAATTGTGAATTGAGAAAGTATACAGGGCAGATTATCAGTTTTACGTTCAACAAATCATATACTTTGTTTCATTATAATGACTGTAATCTACCTTGTACCATCAGTTAACAGTATTTCTCTATTCATTTTAGCCCCCACCCGTCCTTTTTTAAAAAACACTCAGGTATGTATAATAATTGATATCACCAAAGGGCACATTGTGCAAGTCTGCCTCCTGGCCACCAGCTCTCAGTCCCTCTCTTTCCATGAACCTAGAGTCCTCAGCTGCTCCCTCTCTCCATGTCCCCATCTCTGCCTCCATCTCTGGTACCACTGCTTCTCTAGATGGAGTCCTGCATTCCGCTTGTGCTCTTCTCCCTTGATGATCCTTGGGTCCTCTGTTTCTGGACTGTAAGACTAATTACTCCCCCTTTTTTGTTACAAAACTTCTACCTTTACAATTGTGACAGTTGCAATTAATAATAACAGTCACTCACTATTGAATCATAAGAATCTTATCCACATCTCCTTTCATCAGACCTGTCTAGACAAGATGAAAACTATTCAGTGGGGATTCTTTCTTCCCCTACACAGTCTGAAACCAAACTTCCTCTTGAAAACTTTGTGCCTTTATATCTGCACCACCCCCACCTCCACCCCGATTTTTGGTAGTCAGTGTCTGAGTTGCCAGTACCTATCAACCCAGTATACAGAAGAGATAGGATTGATACTTGATGTGAAGACTCCTTCCCTCTCAGTTAGTATTTTGAGCTACTACATCCATAAGTATAGGTCAAGTTCATCAAACTGTAACAATTTACACTGCTCCCTTTATCAGAGTTTTCTTTTTATCTTCCTCTATTGGAGGTCTGATCATCAAGCCATCGAAGCAAGGTCGAATGGATACTATCTGCAAGTTTGGGAGTTCTTGTGTATCTCCCCTCAGTTTATTTCAGCTGGAAGCTTCACTATCAGCTCTAGCCCTCAGTGGCTATATCCTTGTCTATGGGCTCAGGAGTCCCTAGGTCATATACTATCTCTTGAAATAGCTGAACAGCAACCATTTGTTTTTGGCCTAGTGACCTCTGTATTTGTTCCTTCTTTTGATCCTTTCTGCATCTTTTAATTTGCCAGTGGAATCCATCAGTATTACAACTCAAGGCTGGAACTTTTTCTTCAATTCCTTCAGCTTGAGAAATGCTAAGTGTGTTCTTCCCTTTTGGTTGTCTAATTTCCAGGTCTTTGCACATTTCATTATAATACTTTGTTGTTTCAACCTACCGTTTGAAATTTTCTGTTCAGCTCTTCTGCTTCCTCAGTTCTTCCATTTGCTTTAGCTTCAGTAAGTTCAAAAGAAAGTTCCAGAGTCTCTTCCAGTATCTATTTTGTCTTTTTCTGTCCTGTTTTTTTGTTGTTTTTTCCTCCAGCAATTGGCATTTATTCACAATAAAAAAACAATGATTATATTGCTTTAATTACAGTCTGGATAGATTGTTCTTGAGCACATTCCAGTGTGAATATAGAATTTAATTATGTAAAACACATTCTACAAGGGAAAGGAAAAAAAATCATATGTAAAATATTTCTGGTAGAAGAACAAAAACACAGACATTAGACATCTAGACCAGTCTTGGAATCATCTAAGCTCAGATCTGGTTCAACACCTGTGTGAGGTTATGGGTCTGGATGGTCCAGCCTGCTTCATGAGATATAGGGGTACTTCCATCTCAGGATGGCTCTGTCCTGTCTTTTTAAAGATCCTTTGCTTTCTTGCTATATGATGTTCTTGATGTCATCCCACAACTCTTTTGGTGTTCAATCTTTAGTGTCTAAAGTATCAAATCTCTTCTTGAAATGGTCTATAATTTAGATGAAATACATTCAGAGTCATATTTTGCTCTCATGACTATAATTCAGCTTTAGCCTGAATTTGCCTATGAGTAATTCATGGTCTGTTTCACAGTCTTCCCTGACCTTGTTTTATTTTGATTTCTTTGTATTCCATCTAGTTAGGTCCATGTGCATAGTCACTTTTTTGTTTTGTTTTACTTTTTATTGTGAATTGAGTGAAAGTTAACAGAGCAGATTAATCTGTTACATTCAACAAATCATACACTTCATTTTATCTGAATGACTGTAATCCCTTCAATGTAATATGACTTAACACACTTCCTCCCTTTATTTCTTGTTTCTATTCCTTCTTCTGCCCTAACTCATATAAATTTTGTCTTTAGGTAAATGCTACCCCCCTTTTCTTTTTAAGCTTTTATTTTTAATTGAGTCATAGTTTACATGGAGAACATTGGTTTTGAGCTCATCCTATTGTATTGTGTTTCATTGCAAAGATTACAATCCCCTCTATGCATCATCATTTAACAGTATTTGCTTCTTTTCCCTCTAGTTTTTTGATGTACACAAAAAATACTCAGAAATACATAATCATTTAAACCAAAAGGCACATTCTGCAAGCCTCATGGCCACCTACACACAGCCTTTCTTTTTCCATGAGTCTAGAGTCCTCAGCTG